TGCAGAGCAAAAAGGTCAGGGTGTACCCTGTGTTCAAGCTGTATATACTACTACTACGACTATGTGATCTCAAGCGAGTTATCTGACCTTCCTGAACTTCTGTTTCCTCATCTGAATTAGCGCCGGCTTTACACAGTCGACATAAATATTAGATAAGATACGCACCAATGACACTCTATGAGGACCTATAAAATGTGGTCCTTCTTGCGGAGGACATCCAGCATTAAAGCTGGGTAATTTGACTCTATCCACAATCTTTTCTCTTGTTTAACTGATCTTCTCTCCACCCTTTAGAGATAGCTGTCCAACAGAAATACCATGTCAGCCACAAATGTGAGCCCAGTATGAAATAAAAGTGTGTTAGTAGTCCTATTACACAAGGTGTGATTAATTTCAAGGATGTATTTCCTTTACCTAATTATTATACCCCAAAATATCTCATTTTCAACATGGAATCATCAACATAAAAATTGTTAATAAAATGTTTTACTTTCTGTTTTTCATGGGAGACCTTCAGAATTGGGCGTGTATTTTACACTCCGGGTCGGTGTGGACTGCCCACGTTTTAACGCTGCCGCTGCAGGACACAGTCCAGCTCCAGATCCTTCCTGATGCTTCTGTCCCACCGGCTTTCTCAGAATTAAGGACACCGTGTCATGTACAACAATAACCCAGGAAAGAGTTCTCATTCTCCTGGAAAAAAGCGGAGGTTTGCGCCACTTCTCAGAATCACAGAACACTCTGTTCCTCTATTTTAACAGAAGTGGATGGTGATAAAAGGGCTGCCAATGGCCACAGAGACTGGGTCAGACCTGGCGGGCCGCGGATGCTGGTGACATCACGGGGCAGCTTCCCAAGCAAAACAAAAAGTGGGGTTCGTTGAGGCAATTGGGGGGTGGAGAGGATTCTGATTTGCAAAGCTCTATCATCGGAGGGAAGAATTCCTGCCAACAGAGCGTAACATCTACTCATCTATGGGGTTGGGGCAAAGCCCTGAAACGAGGAGAAGGCACACGTCTGTTTTTCACATGCTAGCTTGTCTTCCTGTGAGAAAGGGTGCCACGTAATGTCATAAGCCTCAAGAGAACATAATAAGGAAGGGCCACACCTCAGCCATTCCAATCAAGTGAAAATCTATTCTATTTTTAAGAGATTCAAGAGAAAGAGCCCGGGATCTTCCTTATTAACTGCTTCCAGGATTCCATCTACTGTCCCTCACTGTCAGGAAATTCTTCTTGGTCTTACTTAAATTATCCTCACTAAGGCTAACACACATTTCCCGTTCTTGGCTTTCAAAATGCTCGCCTAAATATGCGGGGGGAAAATGGAGAAACTTATTCTAAAGAAATAGCCATAGGAAGGTAAGACTTGAGAATTTTACTTTACTACAAAACATTCAAGACACACTCCTAGCTGGATACAGAAGCATCAGGAAGAGGCTGACAGAGAGACATGCATGACGGCAGCCTCTCTCATTCTGATGCAGGCTTTTTCGAGTACAATTATGATTGGCTGAAACAATTTTGGGTGACAGGGCAAATGACACTGTCTCACGTTGGATGGGAGGGTGATGTGGCTGGAACCTGCCGCACATAGATGACCGAGGTTGGAGGCTTGGTTTTGTTGCTGAAAGCTCCCATCATCGTTCCCACTGTCCTTAAGTGGAATTTAAGGACTCATTCTCCTGGAAAAAAGTGATAATACTGTGGGTACCAGGGACCTGGCTGTGGATTTTGAGATGAACCTTTCAAATATCAAATCCCAGTACGTGCACGCTTGACCTTTTCCCTTTTCCTGTAAGGGTAATGTGGGATTTACTCAGGGCAGTCAGGGATTTGGAAGCATAGATTCTGCTCAGTAATCTCAAAGGGCTTTATAAGAAGCATTAAATGTTGGGATTATGGCCATTTTGCTCTATAACCCGAAGAAGGGAAATGCTATAGTCACAGGGACCAGGTCTACACCACCACAGGAAATGATCTGTATGGGTGTCTGGTTACCAGAATCCTTCTGGGGGGAGGGAATCCTTGGTAGGTGTTGATTCCAAGTCACCTTGCTCCTCTTTCAGGCTGTTGGAGTTTTGCGAGATGTGGCCTTCCATGCATCTCTTACCCTAATGCTGGCTGAAAAACTCGACCTCCCACCTCTGCCACTATTTCTAATGTCAGCCACTCTTGTGTAAACCCGCTTGCCCTCTGTGGGAGAGAAACACTTCCTCCAAACCTGCCTGTGCATCTTACAAACCTTGTCGGGTCAATACCCACCCCGTCCCATCTCTGCAACTCCAGATCACAAGACTGAGAAGGGTGTTTCTTCATCCAAGGCTTGTTACAAATACTCTGAAATTATTATTCAGAGCAGCAACAGTAAAACCTTCCGCACCTAATATACTTTGGTGACTAAAGTATAAATGAATCTGCAAGGTTGTCACTCTGTGGACTTACGGTATCAAAAAGAGAAGTATGGGATCCAAATGCTTTGTTCTATGAAAAACCTAGCATGGGTCCAAACGAACTCGAGAAGAGGGATTCCCTTTAGAAAAGGATTTTGTCAAGAGAACATAATCCAGGACAAGGGAACTTTGTAGAGGAGAAAGAAAAGTCATATTTAACTTGGTGTTTGTCCAATAGTTTTAACCTTGCTCCTCTATGTTCTGCTGAAGTCCGCTTTGTAATCATGCCAAAAGGAGTTTAGAAGTGTTCCTTTTTTTTTTTTTTTTTTTTTTTGGTCTATAGTTTTTTTGTGCGAAACTAAATCCCCTGCCAAGCAATTGGTTCTACGACAAAAAGTCCTTTGGGGAAATAATACCAAGGCATTTTAGGATTAGCCCATTCTTTCATTCCATAAGGATTTGTTTAGTGACATTTGTGCCAGGCATTGGGCTGGGTGCTGGGGATACACAGGGATCACAACGCAGACCCTGCCCTCAAACCGTTGGCGGCTCTGGGCAACAGAATAAACAGGCAGGGACAGTGAGCTGTGACGCTGAGTTGTGACAGTGCAGTGAAAGGGACCCATGGGGGAGGGGGCGCAGTGTCTTCTAAGCTGTGAATTGGAGGCTTAACAGAAACAGAAGCAGAGTTCTAGAAAGAGGAAGTAACACGTGACTTGTGTGGGCAGAGTAGGACTTCTCTTGCTTGGCCTAATTCAACATCTTCTGGATTGTGAAAGGCTGAGGATGAGCCTTCCAAAGTTGCGCACAGCAGTAACTAAATATCTTTTCTGTGATTCAGGTTCACTTCCAATGCCCCAGTTCACATCTTCCCGGAGGGGGCTGGCCGACAGACTATAACTTCACTGCCACTTGAGGTCCCATTTCCTCTTTCAGAGAGTGGCTACTTTCTAAGCCTCTAAGTGTTGATATATATTTTTTAAAAAAAGCATCTTAAAAACACTGGACCACTCACCTATAAACTCTTCATGCTGATTCTTAACAACTGAAAGCTCCAAATGCTTTGTCAGTGATTTTGCTAACGGAAGAGATCTTGCTCACTTTACAGTTCCTGTCTCCTGCCTCACCTCACCTCCCAAATCCAAACCACAAGTTTGACTCTTAATAAGACTGTAAGTCTTGGAATCTAGCCTAATAAGGACATAATCCAAAACATGGAAGAACTCTGTACCCATGGGTAAATTAATGACAGTGTTTACTGATAGTAGAGGAAAAACTGTAAAACAAACAAACAAAAGCCTTAAATGTGCCCAAATGAGTGAACGATTAGATAATAATGGTATATCCGTTTTTGGACTTTATGCTGATATTAACAAAGATGAACCTATAGTAACTTGGAAAATGCCAACGAAAGACAATGTTAGGTGGAAAAATAAAATAGAATTACATGCATTACGATTACAACCACGTAAGAAATAGAAATCTGAAAAATGCTGGAAAGAAATTTGCTGAAATGAGACTAATAGGTAAATGAGTGGGCTGTGATTATGAGCTTTTTCCTACTTTCTGTTTTCTACGTTGCCTTTATAATTTAAATCTAATTTCAAGTATTAACTCCTTCAGGTTAGCAATGTGAACATTTTCCAAATCCAAGCAGTATATACAAGGGGACGTGAGATAAGAGTATTTCTACGCATATCTTCCCATTGTGACAGTATTGTCCCCCCCCCCCCCCCCCAGTGAATGAGCATGCAGGTGTCATTTCAACCTACCACCGAAGAACTACAGATTCTTGGGCAAAATATTCTGGATAATGAGAAGCACTGCTCTAAGAGTTTGATAGACATTTGAGGATTTCAAGCAAATACGGTTCTGAAAGTTGGAGTCAAACAACAGATTTGGAATTAAGTTCTTTAAATCAAGTTGGGCAACTCTGCGATTCTTCAGGGCTCTAGGTATAATGATGATTTCTTTCAAGAGTAAGCTGAACGAGGCCAGGATCTATGATTCTAATACAGCTCTGACTTCTTTGACTCTGATGGGTGGGTGCAAAATTTGTAGATGGACTGACTGATTCCCTGCGTGTCCACGGACACATAGATGTTCCAGAGTGATGCAACGAGGACACGTGGGATGGGGGTTACTCGGCCCCTGAAGGGGAGACAGAGCCAAGAGATTGCCTCTCTTTCCCCACACCTACGGAAGAATCACTTGGAAACAGCAAATGGTTTTCCACCCCTCTCTGAGCAGGAAAGATGACCACATCAGTTCTAGTTGCAGCAAGAGTTATTTACATTATATTCTAGTTAACTCCGGCAAGTAGAAATTGCTAATGGCAGTTGCGGAATTTCCTTTTCTAGAGATCTGCAACAATAGGTTAGATATACATCTGGCCTTGAATGCCTTAGGCGTGGTGTACAAAGAAACAGAATGAACAAAAATAGCATTCACACACACAAAAATACCATGGTGTGCCGCCCTTCTCTCCTAGATTCTACCAGATCCCGATTAAAAACTGTTTATATCGTCCCCCACCCATCAGCTGAATCGAAGTCCAAACCACATAAGCTTTGGAAGAAACTCAGAACGTTGGCCAAAAGTCAGTTACCTGCACTAGCAGTTCCAGCTTCCTGTCATCAAGAAGATGTACTTGACATCGACGGCCCTCCGTCATCTACGAAGAAAGACAAATGATGGTCACTGAGAGTCTGACAGCCTGACGCATCTCCCATTCAATAATTTCATCACACACATTAGGGACAGATTTCAGTATCCAGGCTCTGCCACCGTGTCCCCCTTACTGAGCACCTGGGAGCAGACGAGCACCCCTCTGGCAATTGCATCTGATTTCTGTGAAGCTTCTTTCTCCACAGGATTTCTGTGCTAATCGTTTATTACCTAGTCCTGACAGTGCTTTCCCCGGTGACAGAGGAACCCGGGAGCTAAACGCTCACGGCTAAACCTGACCCCTCACCCTTGCACCTTTTGCTACGCACACACTGCTGTCAGTGTAAGAGAGAGAGAGAGAGCCCGGACGGGCATCGTTGGGTCGTGGCCCCACCGGGTCTTGGGTGCGTTCATCTCTGCAGCCCCGTCTCATATACAAAAGCGAGTGGGCTGAGCCCAGGGAAATGCAGCTGAAATGTTTAATCGCCGGCTTTCTGGAAGGAAGAAGCCTTCATTTGTAGCATTTGCTGGAGCCCTGGCGACACTCTCAGAGGAAATCCTTTGAAGAATGAGGCTTCCCTTCGATGTCAGCCGGCCACCACTCTAACCGAAACTTGTCTTGCTACACTCCAGATAGCTTCCCTGGTTCTGATTTCAAGCTACTGTCCTGGCAAAATATCTCCTACACATACGGTAACCTTAAATAGCCCCAGGGGCAAGGTGATAGTAGAGTCAAATAATCAGGAAATTTTCCATCCGTGAGTGATGGGTTTTGAGTGTTTATTACCTCTGTTTTTAATGTAAGGTACTTACCTCTAAATTTATAGAATTTAACTTTAATAATGGTTCTGTTTTTACCACTGGCACACAGAAGTCCCAAAAACGTACCAACGGGCTCTCACAACAGGTAAGAGCTGGCTCCAACACCACTGTCTGGACCAGAAAACCCAGAGGTTCTGTCCAGCCCTCGTATTTTCTATGACTCCGTAGCCGCCACTGAAACCACCTTCTTTTTGCCCAGCTAGCAGCCACTTCATGCAGATCAAGGGGAGGGAAGCAGGTGGGCAGATCCTGGCCTCATCTGCATGCCCAGCCATCACAGTCCCTTCTCATGAGCGCTTTCTCCAGGAACAATGCAATAGAGATCATCTTCTCTTCCTGTACAACAGGGATTATCCTCTAACCATCAGCATGTCCAAAGCTGGCATGGACACTGGTGGGAAAATCCTCTTATTCCTTCCTCAGAAGAAGCCAACCCCTCCAACTACCATCGAGTCAAATTTCCCTAGTTATGGGATCTTTTTTTTTTTTTTAAGATTTTATTTATTTATTTGAGAGAGAGAGAATGAGAGGGGGGAGCGGGAGAGGGAGAAGCAGACTCCCTGCCGAGCAGGGAGCCCGATGCAGGACTCGATCCCGGGACTCCAGGATCATGACCTGAGCCGAAGGCAGTCGCTTAACCAACTGAGCCACCCAGGTGCCCTAGTTATGGGATCTTAACCCATATGGCACACCCTGCTTGGATGGGACCAAAAGAAATGTCTCTTGAATCTGAGTTAGAAGAATGACTCAGCAGTCCCCAGCTCTGAGAAAAAGCACCAAGAGAAGTTTTACATACCCATAGGCACTCCAACAGAGGTTAAAATAGAGTTAAAACCCAAGGAAGGCTTCAGTCCAAAGGTCTGCCATTTTGCACATATAAGCCGAAGCCGGCGGCCATGGACGTGAGACCGGTCTATGACAAGTCCTTATTCATTCTTTGGACTCTTAACTGTCGGTGTTAACTACCTTAAAAGGAGAGAGGGCTCAAATCCCATTAGAATCTACCAAGTGTGCACATAGGAGGCATCCTAGCTGACTGACTTCATTTAAAAAATCCGTCAGCTTCAAAAAATACCCAAATGGGACAACATCATGATAAAAAGCTCCTGCACAGCAAAGGAAACCATCAACAAAGTGGAAAGCAACCTACTAAATAGAAGAAAATACTTGCCAATTATATATCTGATAAAGGGCTAATACCTAAAACATATAAAGAACTCAGATGACTCAATAGCAAAACCCCACACAATCCTAGTATAATGGACAGAGAATCTAAATAGACATTTCTCCAAAGAAGACATCCAGATGGCCAACAGACACACCAGAAGATGCTCGACATCACTCATTGTCAGGGAAATGCAAATCAAAACTAGAATGAGCTATCAACCTCATATGTGTTAGAATGGCTATTATCAAAAAGACAAGAAATAACAAGTGTTGAGGTGGATGTGGAGAAGAGGGGAGCCTCGCACAGATGGAGGGTCCTTTAAAAATTAAAAACGAAGCCACCATATGATCCAGTAATTCCACTTCTGGGTATTTATCCAAAGAAGAGGAGAATACTCATTCAAAAAGATAAATGTACCCCCATTTTCAAGGCAGCATTCTGTATAACAGATAAGACACAGAAGAAACCTAAGTGTCCATGGGTGGATACATGGATAAAGAATACGTGGTGTATATATACAGTGGAATACTATTCAGCTGTAAGAAAGAAGGAAATCTTGCCATTTGTGACAACATGGATGGACCCTGAGGGCATTATGCTAAGTGAAATTAAGTCAGAGAAAGACAAATGATCTCATATGTGGAATCTAAACAAATAAACAAAACACCAAATTCGTGGATACAGAGCACAGATTGGTACTTGCCAGAGCTGGGGGGTCAGGGGGTTGAGGGAAATCAGTGAAGTGGGTCCAAAGTTCAAAAGGTACAAATTTCCAGCAGCTCAGTTCTTAATGGAAAGAACCCAGGGTTAACACAGTGGAAGTTTAAGGAAGAAAAGTGCTACAACCATCCAGCATATTACTTTGAAATTCCTTTAAAGACATTTATTACAGGTTTCAGAAAATTCTCTGAAGGGTGGGGACAGAGGAGAATTAAAAAAAAAAAAATGCTGCTGGTCCTTAGTATCTTTAGAACACAAAGTTTTGAGCTTCCTTTTATCGTAAAAAGCTAAGGATATAAACACATTCTTGACTTCCTTACCCACATTCTAATAAATTTGACAAAAATAAAGGGAAATTGGTATCACCAAGATATTACTGTATCAAATGAAGTTTTAACTGCAATAATAAAGAGGTAGGTACCATTTTCCCAAAATATTTCAGAGCACACAACGCGTGACGTGACACTGAGTTCATGCCCGTACCTAGGAGTTTACTGTGAGGCTCTCATTTTCATCTGAAAAATAAAATCCTCATTCCATTAAATAATCTCACCTTATCTGCTCAGCAGTTGAAGGAATTAACTATACATCAAGATGTTAAGATCTACTCAAAGTTTTCCAAGTTCATTCTTCTCTTCCAAAAAGCCTTCAATTTTCAGTCCCGAGGAATTTATTTCTAAGCACGCTCCCTATTTGAACAGGGAATTTCTAAGCTGCCTCCCTTTGGGAAGGCACAACATCCCTGAAGAAAAAAGCAGCCCAGAGAAGTGCGTCCAAACAGAAACTCAACTTTGAATCATCACGTTTTTGAAAGTACGCCTTTCTTTGGACGGCACTGCCGTGGTTTTTTTCTCCAAGGGGGGGGATGGCCTGTCCTTCCTGACTGAAGGAAGACTGGAGTGTCCTGTTCTCATCAGTTCAGAAAAGGTTTACCCTCCTGGGTGTGTACCGGGAAAGAGTGGACATCTGTAGCTTTGTCTGGTTTTCCAGGCACACTGAAATTTTCTTTTGAATGCTAACAATTGTAAAATAATACGGCTTTGCTTGTTTTCGTTTTCGGCGGCCGAGGCACAATTGCAGCGTCAGCATCCCCCTCAGAGGAAATCCTCTTGGAGAGCAGGGCTTCTGGCAGATGTCAGCTGGCGACCACTCCGACATAAATCGTTCGCTACAATGCAATTCCATACCAAGCAGAGGCCTGCCGAAGGTGCTGTGATTCTCGAGAAATATACAGCGAAGTGTTATTTTGGAAGTGAGGTGTCCACCCCATCGCTCCAACTTTGCTGTTAAGACACACACTGAATCGGGAAGACTATTCATAAACAGAGAAATGCATTTATGATACTAGCTTAAGGGAGCATAGCAGAATATGAAATGCTATGTGTGTCCTCTCAAGACAGCCAATAAAATTATCGTGCACTTGGACAGGAATTGGGAGGCAAAAAAATAAAATAGTTGATATGCTAGGGGAGTAGGCTTATGGGTAGTTTCCTCCCATCCCATCCAATTATGACTTAAACTTTTATTTTTTTCAGTAAAAAAAAAATGTATAAAAACAAACTTTATCTAGAAAAATGACTGACAGTGTTTGAGGTCAGCCATAGGAAATGGATCCTGAGAAGCTTCGTTCCCAAGGATTTTGTTTTAGATTGCCTACGTTTTTAACGCATCAAATCAAGTTAATTAGTTTACAACTGAGAATTACAACTGTCACACAGGTCAGAATACTGGAGACGGAAGGTCTGACACAGTCTCTCCTGGCAGGTGGAGTTAATGGGAAGCCAGCTGTGATCAGAAGTTGCTCAGGGAGCAAAGAACCTGAAAAGGGGGGGGGCATTTATAAATATCTATGTCTGAGGGCATCTTTTCTCCACTATCCTGATATATTCCTGTTGGTGGAAGGAACCACTGCCCAAATGTGGTGGGGGAGTCCCCCCTCATTGGTTAAAAAACCAATAATAACTAACTAGCAATGACAAATGCCCCCTCCATGGGGATTTTCAGATGCTTTACATGGACAAGGGCAGGCTGCCGAGTTCAGCCCATGCAAATACATTTTATTAGGAACATTTTGTCTTCAAATTCAAAACTAAGTAAACCCCATTTTAGCATGTTTTGTATTATGACCCTTTTCTCTACATATCACCTCTCCCTCCCTCTCCCTCCCTCTCTCCCTCTCTCTTAGCCACTGCGCGTCCTTTGCCAAATAAGTTACATGCTATGGTATACACACCTAGTTCCACTGTGGAAGACATTTTTGTTGAAATCTAATGCAGTTGTACAAATGACTTGTAGGG